CTGCTAAGGTGGGGGCCTTAGGGTGGTTTGGGGTTTAGGGTTCTTCCTGGGCTGCTAAGGTGGTTTGGGGTTTAGGGTGGTTTGGGGTTTAGGGTTCTTCCTGGGCTGCTAAGGTGGGGGCCTTAGGGTGGCTTGGGGCTTAGGTTTAGGAGGGGGGGTGGGGGTTTCGGGGGTTTAGGCTTTCGGGTTTGGGGTTTAGGGGGCCTCAGGGTTGGGTGGTTGGGGTGGTCTGGGGTTTAGGGTTTAGGGGTCAGTTCAGCAACACAGTAACCCCTTGCCGATGAGGGTGCCCTGTTTCCGCTGTTCAGCTTGAATAATAAGACAACCCTAAAAGCAGAGGGACAGGAAGCAGAATACAGGGACCTTCATAATTCGAATAGAATTTTGGGGTATATGATGCTTTACTTAGAACAAGGAGCCCCCAGACAGTATAGGTAAGTATTGAGGCCGCTATGTTACTACTGGGGAAACCTGCTCTTCGTTGTGGGGCCCCCTCGAACAGGGGTCTGGGACCTAGGATTCAGGATTTTGGATCATGGGGTTTAGGCTGTGGGCAGTTCTCTAAACTGGGGTCCCGTTTTGGTCCCCAATATAGTGCGGCACCCTTATAGAACAAAAAAGCATAGGAACCCTAATTTAGAGAACTTATCATGTAGGGCTCGGGGTTTAGGATCGAATCCGAGGTTCACTTTTCAGCTCTTCGGAGTTCGGGTTGAGGGCTTAGGGCCGCCTAGGGTTCAGGGCCCTCTAGGCTCTCTGAAAACGACCAAGTTAAACACAACAAGCCCTCTAGGCTCTCTCTAACGATGCTAAAGTCTGCTAAAGTTTGCTAAAGTCTGAAACTTACTAAAAACTCAAGAACGGGCTGGAATCGATGTTGTCGCCTCTGGAAAGTGACGTCTCCAGACGGCTCCAGACGTCCGACGGCGGAAGAACAATCCTGAGCTTCGTGTTTTGGGGTTTAGGGTTTGGCTTTTAGGGGCTGGTTTGGGGTTTCGGGTTTGGGATTGAGTTTAGTGTGTGCTGTGAGGTAGCGCTGCAGCAAGCAGCAGACAAAGCAGTGAAAGCTGTGCAACATGGATGTCTCGAGTGCCTGGTTGTTCTGGCACGAGCATAGACGCCCATCCCAGGCTGCACGCACGCACACACATGGTCAGTTCTCTAAATTAGGGTCCTTTTTGGGTCCCCAATCTTGTACGGCACTCTTATAAAAAGGACCCCAAAAGAGACCCGAATTTAGCGACCTACCCACATACACAGAGGAAGAGAGAGAGAGAGAGGGAGAGAGAGAGAGAGAGAGAGAGATAGATAGCCGACTTAGGCGGTCAGACCACCAATCCTGCTCGTGGGGTTTCACGCACAGACTCACCCAGCAATAGGATCGAACTACAAGCATGTGTGAAAAAAAGTGTTCAGAGGGTAGGGGACAGAGGGCACAGGGCAGAGGGTATCAGGTTGGGGGTCCTTCTGCGAGTATTGATTCCATCTTGAAGTATGTGCGAATGACATACTTCGTTATATTCTGTTGAGCTAACCAAATGGCATGAGTCCCCATAAAAATGCAGCTCAGCATCTGCGAATAGGTGGTAAGAAAGGTGCCCCCATAGCACACGGGCACCAGCGTCTGATTCTCGATCCTTTTCGCGATGCCCATGGCCGTTGCCCACTCACCAAAGGACTTGAAGCTCGACGTGAAGGTCTGTTCGTCACGGCTTCTGTTCTTGCTTTCCCAGACTTTGTAAACAGTCGTCCCATGCGCAAACTGCATGAGCGACTGGCTTATGTGATACAGGCTGTGCCGGGGCCATGAACGCCCACAAGCAAACTTCAGTCGTCCCGAGGCAACCCGTACCATCTTCTCAAACGCAACTGGGATGTCACCAATATTTCGAGCGGACATGTCATTGTCCTTAATGAACAGAATGAGATCACTCTCATGCCGATCTGCAGGTATGCGATTTCCTGCCTGCGCTAGCCAATGCGCGTAGGTATGGTCACAGCGCCCGATATTCTCCATGCGCACGATCTGAGCTGTTGCTGGGGCCCCCTCTACCGGATAGTTGCACTTGCTGAACACAGTCATGGTGGAGATGGGCCAGGTCACGAACTCTCGAATCCAACCAATGGGTCTGTCGCAGTGAGCAACTACCACGTCCAGGTGTGACGGTGCAGTGCCTGTGCTTGAGTTTAGGGGTTAGGGTTTTTAATATTAGCGCAACGACCTGATCCATCAAGCCTCAACCCGAAACCCCTAACCTGCCGAACCTCAGCCCCCACACCCGAAAAACTTGAGGGTTCAGGGCTCTTGAGTTTTGAGTACATCTGCGTCCTTCGTGTTTTTTTTCAGCTTTGGTGCCTGTAGTCTCTGGTGTGGCGCTCGCTTGACGAGGCTCGACTCCATCGAAACCAACCAGTAGACCTCAAGGTACATTTTCGTGTTTCGGGTTTAGGATGCAGGTGCGTGAGCTGAAACGGGACCTTTCCAGGTGCCCACACCCCTAAACTAGGAGAAGAGGATTCTAAACTCTAAACCTTCCCAGAACAATTACTCCCAGAGCCTCGTGAAGCGTAAACTCAAGGGCCCCGACAGTGACGTCTATGACCATCCTCAAGAAGACTATACATACCTTCGACAACCGCAGAACACCCTCACAACACCCTTCCACACACCACTAAACTGCCCTCGGCCCGGCAAAACCCAAAACTCTAACTTGCAATTAGCCGACTCAGCCCTTAAGACTTAAACCAAACCCTAACCCCTCAGCCCTAACCCTAAAACCCTTCAACCCTAACCCCTAAACCCGAAGACCTAACCTGGCCCTAAACCCCTCAACCCTAAGCCCTCAACCTAAAACCCTCCATTTCGCGACCCAGCAGCAGCAGTTGAACCCGAGGCAGAAGCAAGCCAGCGTGAAGATCCATGGCTTCAAGGCCATATCGGCTTGGCGGCTTCGGGCTTAGGCTTCAGGTTTTAGGGCTTTGGGTTGGGGGTTTGGGCTGAGGGTTTGAGGTTTAGGGTTCAAAGTTTAGGGTTCAGGTTTAGGGGGATGAGCGAAACCACTACCAGAAACAGAAAAATGGGCTTAGGGGTTAGGCTTTTGGGATTCGGGTCAAGGGTTGTGTTCTTTGGCGGTTCGAGTTTGGGGCTTGCTAGGTTCCGCATTAGACTAGTCTTTTTGTTTGTTGTGCCACATGTTCACCTCGCAGGTTTGAGGTTTGAAGAGCTGGGGTCTTAAGCCCTAAACTCCAAGCCATAAAGGGTGTCCTAAACCCTAAACCCTAAACCACCACACCCTAAACAAAAAACCCTAAACCCCAAACCAAAACACCTCAACCCTAAACTAGAACACCCTAAACCTAAACACCCTAAACCAACAAACCCTAAATCAAACCACCCTAAACCCTAAACCAGCACACCCTGAGCCAAAACACCCTCACCAAAAACTCACTAAACCAGAACACCCAAAACCAAAACACCCTAAACCCCAAACCCCAAAGCTCGACGACGGAGTTCGGGAGTCGGGCTTTGGGTGCCCGGCTGAGGGTCTAGCATTCTGGGCTTAGGGTTTGGGGCTTAGGGTTTGGGGCTTAGGGTTTGGTTGGGGCTTGGGGGTTTAGGGTTCAGGCGGTTTAGGGTTTAGGCGGTTTAGGGGTTTAGGGTTTAGGCTTGGGGTTTAGGGTTTAGGCGGTTTAGGGTATAGGGTTTGGGGCTTCGGGTTTAGGGTTTGGCGTTTAGTGTTTGGGGTTCAGTGTGCACCAGGCTGTGCAGATTTTGGGGCTAAATCCTTAAACCCCAACCCCTGAACCTGAGCCACAAACCGTAAACCCTGCAATCCTAAAACCTGCACCCCTAAACCCCAAAACCCTAAACCCGAAACACTAAAACACCCTAACCATCCTAAACCTGTGGAAGGCCCTGGAAGGCAACGAACTCAGAAGACACAATGCAAAGCGGGGCATTTCGAAGGGGTTCAGCTTACACAGATTTAGGGTTTAGGGGCTTAGGGGTCTAGGGGTTTATGGGCTCAGGGCTTAGGGGTCAGGAGTTTAGGGGTTCGGGGTCTAGGCTCCACTGTCGTGGCCTGAACTCTGAACGAAGCCCTCGGCGACAGCGGGTGCGAAATTGAACTCGTCGGGCCTTGCATTTCCTGGACCCTAGATAACCTCCCTGTTTCAGGGCGGCGGATGAAACCCTAAAGAGGTGGGTCTTTTCAGGCTCAGGTTCGGCTTCAGGCTTTGAAACCTATAGACCCTAGATCCTAGGTCCTAGGCCTGGGTCGGACCTATTTTAGAGCTCGCACATTCCGCATTGCTCTGCGACGTCGGCAGCTTGACCAACAGTCCTCGCGGCGCCTTGCGGCCTCACACGGTTTAGCCCTAAACCCCAAACCCGGGGGATTGGGGCGGTTCGGAGGTTGAGGATCCAAGTGTTAAGGTGTTTGGAACGGGTTTAAAACAGGTTTAAACGTTTCGGGGCTTCGTAAAACCGAATAGAACCCAAACATGGCCCAAGAATCCCATATACGACCCGATACTCCCTTATAAACCCTAAACCCTAGAATCCCTTAGAAACCCTGGGGGGGGGGGGTTTCTCAATGTTCGGGTAAGCTCCGCGACCGGATTTAGACTTGCTGTTATAGGGCTTCCAAGGTTCGATGGGGGTTCGTAGGAGCCCTAAAACCCCAAGCCCTAAATGGCTAGATCTCTAAATCAGGGTCCCTTTTGGGATCCTTTTTTATAAGGTTGCCGTACTACATTGGGGACCCAAAAGGGGACCCTAATTTAGAGAACTACCCAACTCCCAAAAATGAGATTGGGTAATGAGTTTGGTTCCTACACGCTAAACCCTGAACCATAAACCTGAAACCCTAAACCCTAAACCCCAATTTGCGGGGGGCTTTTGCGACATTGGGAAGATCTTTGAGGTGTGGCGCGTTACGGTGTGAGGTCCCTGGGGTTTTGGGCTTTAGGACTTTAGGGGTTTAGTGCAGTCTGAAAGTCTGAAGATTGGGAGCTCGGGGCTTTTGGGCGTTTGGGCTTAGGGGTTTAGACGGTTTAGAGACTAGGGATTTATAGGGTTTGGTAGGGTTTTTAAAGGGTTTGGGTGATTCATTGGATCCAGGGGTGTCGAGGCGATGAGGTGGGGTGTTTAGAGTCTCGGGTTGAGGGCGCAGACTTTGGAGCGGGTCGAAGAGTTGAATGCCGAAGCTGGCGGAAGCGAGCTGCCCAACTCAGGGAAAAACGTCACCCGAAGCTCGTAAGAGGGGATAACCTTGCCCGGAACTGTTTGCCGTAAGGGCTGTCTGGCTGTCACGACTAACCTCAGAACAGGAACACCCACATGTGCACTCAGCACTGTTCGCAAGGAGCCCTGCATACACTTACCAACCCATAATTCCAGAAGCAGCTTTGCCGTTAAGCGTCAGGGTTCTAGCTAGAAGCGTGGCTTCTCTGGATGCATGTCGCTCCGGGGGCTGCCCCAATACCTGGACCCTAGGATACGCACCTTCCGGGTGCAGGTGATCTGTAAAGCATACACGCGAAATCCCAGTCCTAAATCCTAGATCTAAACCCTACACCACTCTTGCTTTGAAAAGATCTTACTCCGGTATGACACAGGGCTGAAGGCTTTAGAGTTTGGCACTTTTGGTTTTTATGGTAAAGGCCTTAGGGGCTTCCGGCTTAGAGAATTTCGGGTTTATAAAAGGTTCGCACTTTTAGGGAATGATGCCATCAACTGAAACCCAGGAAGTTCTAACTGTTTGCTTTTGGCACTACTGGTAGCACTTTGGCACCAATCCGCCCAGTAATTGCCAATGCTCCGGCGTCATCGCAGTGATGTCTACAGTGCAAACAGGCTTCGAAGCAGATCGCGGCCTCTGTGCTCCTGAAAGTCTGAGGATAAGGTTTTGGGTTCACGTGCTAGGGTTGGCTTAGCTAAACCCTGGGTAGGCTGTTGCATGACATCCAGGATCAGGAAATCTCGGTCTCCTGTTCGAGCAAACCATGTCTGCGTCTCGCTCTCAAACAGCCCGTCCAGAGTTTCGCACTTTTGGGGGAGCTGCTTTGCCTGGTTGGATCACAACACCCCGCACGGAAACCCTAACCCCTCAACCCTAAACCCCACTCTCAAGGCGCGAAATACAGAAACAAGACTCAAAAATACTTATAAACCTTCCCGGACGGGGATTTAGGACTCTGGGGTCTAGTTGAATGGTTGAGGCTTGCCCGAAGTATCCCGATGTCATAAACCACAGATTCGACACCCGAAAGCCCTTAAACCTGTGTCTCCAAAGACCCAAAGCCTAAACCCTGAAACCCGAAGACACCAAAATCAAAAAAACTTAAAGACAGGATCCAGCTGCAAGCTCGGCCACCGCTGGATTGTTGTAAGCAATCAAGACCTGGGACACTGCAGTTTTCCAAGGGACACATGGCGGTCATGAGCTTTACAGAGGTGACATAAGGATGTTCCCAAACAATCTGAAAGGGTTTTTTGAAGGATTCATATGATTGTTGTATCAGGCATGCGTAGAAAAATCCGAGGTGTTTTCATACCCATGCAAACCCGCCGCTTCCTGTATACCAGAATATGGGGAGGGGTTGTTGTTTTTTCCTTGGCACGCAGATTCTTTTAAACAAGTAACCCCTGAGATACTAGGAACCCTTACAAGTCCTTTAAAGCAAGGAGCCCCTAAACTAGCAACCTTAAGCAAGGAACTCCTAAGATACTAGTAACCCTTGCCAGTCCCTTTAAGCAAGGAGGCCTACGATATTAGTAATACTAGCAAGCCTTATAGATCCTCTTCACCACGGGATCGTCTCAGAGCTGGAATGAGCCAAAACCTGCCGGGTTTTGCCTCGTTCGAACTCCGAGGCGATCCGGACCTTCCATGTACTCGCTCGTGGTCTGGTGAGGGTGAGTGTCAGGGTTTCAAGGTTCAGGGTCCAGGTTTCAGGGTAGTTTTCAGGATGTTCAGGGTTTCGGGTTTAGGGGTAGTCAAGGAGGCACGAGACCACAAGCCTGAAGCCCAAGCCCTAGAACACCCTAACCGCTGAAAGGGTAAAGGATGCAGCCCTGGCTCGAAATTCAGGTGCCCAAGACTCCTGAACCACCTGACCTAAGCGTAAGAAACCAACGTACACAAGCCCCAACACCCGCAGTAGTAGCGATGTCTCTCACGGACCATAACACGCTTAACGCTTGCAACTCTAACTTGCCCACGAACCGTCACTAGAACTCTGAGCCTCACAAAACCCCGAAACCAAAACCGAGAACCCTTGAACCTGAAAGAGCCGAAAGCCCCACACCCCCAGCTCCAAAGCCTTGCGTCCTTAACTCTCCAAGCCCATGACCTTGGCCCAACTAAGCTTGAAAGAAAGTCCCTGCTTGTAAATGTAGTATACTACAGTGGGAAT